AAAAGAGGTATTGACAGCAGAAATTAGTCGCAAGTCCATATTTTCAAAACTAAAGGGGGCGTGGCAAGTCCAAATTAAGTGCAATAGTTTTGCACATCAATAATTTTGTTTACAAATGATTTCTTAAGGTTGTATTCGTTAATTTCATATTGTTTCAGCTATATCATTTTTTTTATTTGCCAGTAAGAACATTATTATTATTATTATTATTGTGCTGAATAAGAAGTAAATATAATAATAAAGTTACAGACAATGAAATGCATGAGAAATTACTTTTGAAGAAAGTGACAATTATGATAAGTAATTACTTTTAAAGAAAATGTCTATATATGCTCACAGGGGCCTCTTTGTCTTGTTGCAAAATTGCACCACCTGCAAATTTGGCACCTATGTGAACAAAATCTGACACCCCAACCCCTTTCCCAATCAATCCAAACATTTATTTTCTGACATTAACCTATGTTGCTGTCCTAGCGAGGGTAAGAATTACTTCTCCCCGACAACACATACGCGAAGCACTGGTTACTGTTATTGTAAGATATGACAAAATCTTGATTACTTCTTCTTCTTCTTCCCGTTTGCTAGATGTGTAAACTCTGGCGGAAAGATCTGGATGTTCATCCACTTCTGGACTGCAGTCCTGTTCCAGAACCTGAGTGTTGCGTGTGCATCCGTTTTACAGATCTGACTCAATTGTGTGTAGACTACTGGTTCCTTGCCTCACCGGCAGATGCATTCCGACTTTGAAGGAAGCTCCCAATTAGTCGACTCTTACGACATGCTCCTATGTAGGCATTTGGTCTATTCTTGTTTTCCCCATAAAAATATCCCTATCCTTATAAAATATCTTGATTAGATAATTCACGACCTCCTTTAACCAGACAGTCAGAGGTCACGGATTATAGTAAGCGGTTATTGCTTTTGAGTCAGGTGGTGTTTTGAAAAGGTACCTACAACAAAGAGCTGAAACTAATTATGGGGAGCACCCAGGTTCCACAACCTATGTGACTACAACAACAAATGCAACTTATAAACACCAGTAACAACTACAACTAATACTACCACCACTATCAACGTATTTTCCTGAACATAAATCTATCCCAGAATAAGCCATTGTACCCCCCCCCCCCGGATGCTTTTAATATGTCCTTTAAAAAAAAGCCATAGTTAAGATCGTCAGCTAGAATGTGAGACGATGCAGATGTGTCGCAAGAAATGCAGGTCGAAATTCTGGATTTGGGGATTTATTATGAGCGTTTCAAGAGAAGATGACACCACTGTATCTGAATAAATGTAGAATTTTGTAGATAAATAAATAATTTCTATAATGTACATTTCTAAAACAAATATGGCATCCTTTAAAATAGGCCCTAGTGCATTGTAAAAGTAAAAATTGGCTATCCTCAATAACGGGCGGTAAAGATGGCGGCCGCAAAATATCCTTTCAAGCCACAGTCAATTCCGCACTTTCGGTGACTTAATTTGCGGTTCTCCGGCGACTACCGCCACCGCCACGCGGCGTGGATTGGGGCTAAAATAGATGGCTAGGACCCACGAGCAGCAGCTTCCGCATCTCCTGAAGCTTTGCTCGTGAGTCCTAGACATCTAGTTTAGCCCCAATCCGTGCCGCGTTAACGGCGTGCGGGCCTCGTTGGCGGTGGCGGTAGTCGCCGGAAAACCGCAAATTAAGTCAGGTGACTGTGGCTCGAAAGGATATTTTGCGACCGCCATCTTTACCGCCCGTTATTCGGAGGATAGTCTAAAAACGTATGTAAGACGGGGAAGCATGGTAGAACTACCATCAGCATCACCACTACTAACTTCTTAACTCATGTGTAGCCCTGTTGGCATCATGTTTAGCCAGAGAGGCAGGCGGGCTGCAAGGTTGCCATACTGGCATATTTGACGCCAGATACCACCGATTTGGCGTTTTTGAAATTGAACTGGCTTAAAACAGTAAACTGGCGTATTTGGGTTTTTCCTGGCTTTTCTAAACAAGATATGCTTGCATTTTCTTCATAGTTTCTCCGTGATAAACACTTAAGTTTACTATAAGCAATGTAGGCCTGCAGTTAACATCTTTAATTCAGTTGGTCTTTGTTGTGATGTCCTGGTACGGACTAGCGGAGATCCGAACAATTTCGTACTGTATTTGTTGTCTTCCTAAACGGATCGTGACTTCGATAAATCCAGGCCCTCTGTAAGTTACGTTAATCTACTAGAAAAAATGCGGGATATAAAACCAAAACCCACCACTGATACCAAGTGATTCAGACTGTTCAGAAACTATTTGAGAATAGACAATAGACATAGTTCTGTCTGTGATCGATTTTATTACGTTTACAAAAGACAACGTCATAAAAAAATGGAAAGCATCATAGAACAGCTATTGCAAGTATAATAGTAATTGTGAGAAAACATTCCCAAGGCTCAGAAGATCTTCAGGCGGATCAGAGGCAGCCTATTGTAAACTGCCAGTGCACTGTTATGCCAAGAATTAGTAACATATCAAATCATAGAAAAATCTGAAAAACACAGCATGAAAACTCCCGCCAAAAAGCCAGTCAAAGCTTATTACAACAATGACTGCTAGGCTAAGTAATTATAAAGTTTAGGCAGCAGAGTTGCAACTTGCTGTAAGCATGACCAGCCATTGTGCAATGCTCACAATTGATCATCTAAGTGAAATCATGAGAGCACAAGGTCAGGGAAGTACATTGGAACACATACAGTTGCATAGAACTAGAACTTCATGCATCATAAACAAAATTATATCGCCTGCACTTAAGGCTGAACAAGTTTACGCTACATCTTCTACGTGTTCCAGTGAGGATGACAGGAATTGAATCTAGAGCTTTTGATGTGAAGTGAGTACAATGTTACACTTCATTTGGCATTTTCTGGCATATTTTTGGTAATGGTTTGACATAAAATGAAGTTTTGTATCTGGCAACACTGACAGTGACCCGTATGTAGGAATTCCCTTGGTTGTCAATGATGTCAGTTCAGTCTCCAATGTTGTACACAGCTCAGTGAGTTTTTGCCTCGTCCCCACCATCTATTATTAGTTTTCCCTCGCTGAAGCCAGTTTCGGGATCATCTTGAACTGTATTAGTTTAGTATTTATTGTGAATTGTGACTGATTTTGTGACATTCACGATACAAAACTGTGTTTTTGATGAAGGAGAGGACATGTTTAACAACGTCTTGTGGTCATTCACGTCTGATGTCTTGGGTCTGACAAAACGAAACCAACTACATACTTTAATTATACATTATATGTTTCACTGTTTCTGGAAATCAGATTCAGGTGGTAAAAAGATGATTACTTAATGTGTAAAACGTATGTTTTAATAGTTTTATAATAATTTGTATTTACCAGAAATGAGTTTTACATTTTTTTTGACAATAAAATGATACTTAAAATACTTTGAATAAGTTCCTCCATAATTAATTAATATAATTCAGTTTACAATTTACTACAAATACAATAATAAAAATAAAAACATCCGAATGTGGAGCAGGAGGTATTATTTCTTAGATGTAACTAAGATTCTAAGAATATAATCTAATTGGACCTTAGTTGGCAGTTTGTTGTTGAGTTTGTGAGACTTGTTCTTACTACTTACTTCTCCATTCTGAGCATTCTCATTGAACAGGAACTATACAGATGTAATTGACTATCTTCCAAACTAGTAAACATGTTAAATTTTTTCGTCTGGTACTGCCAGATTAATTCCCTTTAACTCTTTTAGAATCTAGCAGTTGTAGCTTTAGCTGTTTGTCCTAAGGTGTTGTCACTTTAGCTGGTTGATGTTCGTCTTCAAGTCCACCCACTGTAGTGTAAAACACAGTGGAAAGTTCTGGTTGTTCATCCACTTCCATACTATAGTCATTCCTGAACTTGCATTTTACACACATATCCTTTTTACAGTTACTCATATGTATGCAGACTGTTGGTTCCTCACCTGTAACCACTCACCAGCTGCTGTCCTGTAGATCCCAAGGAGTTGAAATCAAACTCTGGGAAACAGAAAGTGTTAAGATAACAGGGCAGAGTGGCATAGTCTACACACGGATGAGACAGGAAGAGTTAAGACAAGGGTATTTTTGCAACCATCAGCCTCGAGTGACCGTAGAGCTGTACCGTTAATTTTGCAAACAGCATCGGGAATGACAAAAGCTGAAGCTGTTTAGCAATCTTGGAGTGACAGCATCGGGTATGACTTAAGCTGAAGCTGTTTAGCAATGTCGGAGTGACCTCTTCAGGGCACAATCCTGGGCATGTTGACTTGTGAAGTACAGGCTATTGCCCTGGCAGCAGAATCCTACAACTCATAATGAGTTAATTGCTAGTGAATGAGTTAATCTGTAGGACTTAAAACCGGGAAACTCCCCATGTGGTTCTAGGGCCCTTGGAGGGGGGTAGACCCATTGCCATCTAATCTGTGTGTTGTAAAAGGCAACTAATTAGGTATTTTCCCTTTGAAGTCAGATTACAATGCCTGAGTGACAAGCAGACAACAATCTGTACAAAAAGCTATATTTGTGAAATAAACGCACACAGAATTAAAGTTCTGCAACAAGACCTAAAGTTCAGAAGTGGACAATCAGAACTTTCTGCCAGAGTTTAAAATCGATGAATGCTAAGAAGAAGCATGAAAAAATGATATTTTTGTACATGATCAAAATGTAACCCATATCCTTGTTTTTCTTTTACCCACCTCTAGGTGTTGATACCTACAGCTAGCTCCTGCCAAGAAGCAGCCTTTCTACTTCCTGTCCAGACGGAACCTCTCTGTGATATGACATCACAGTGTATTTTGACGAGACTGGATTTTTGTGGACTGTTGGATGGATGACATTTTGTATTTTTCAAATGTGAACTAAATTCTTTTAATTTTTTTTGGGGTTTGTAAATGCAAATATATATTTAATAACGGTTGATATAGATGCACATAAGCCAAGGTGGCATATGAGGCATAGTGATTTGTTGTAGGATGGAACTTAAGACTGCTGCTCAGAGCTTGGAATTTGTTATCGACAAAGCTCAGGCTGCTTTTGTGCAGACAGCCGTAGAAAGAATTGCGGCTTTATTTCATGTTAAAGTGGAATTCAAAGATGTCTTTTCTGGGTCTGCTCAACACCAACAATGGATATCAGTTACTGGAACAGACGATGAAGCCAACAAGGCTAAGGTAAGAGAACACTTGTCATTCTATTTTTCCCTTGTAGGTTCCAGAGCACTCATTTTGAAAAAGGAAAAGACCAGACCCAGTGAATGAACTAACAGGCATGTCATCAAAGCAACTAATTCGTGGTTTGTTTTTCTTCTTCTGCGATAGCCCTCAAAAAGTCGGTTTATAGCTAGACTTCTTAAGATTCACTAGCTGATTATCCTGCTCATCAAGTGAAATGATTGATTGTAAGGCAGTGTTGGTTGATTATAAGGCAGTGTTCATTGATTGTAAGGCAGTGTTTTCGGCCACAGGCATGAGAGAAACTTAGGGCCCTTATGATGTGTATAAGGACATACTCCTATTCACCTGAGGCACTAGAAGGCTCAGTGCTGGTTTTACGGACCCTCATGCAAGACTCCTGCCGCATAATGGCTCCTGCTGGCCTAAACCAAGCTGGCAGGTGATCTCTGAGTTGGTGGCGCACAGAGAAGCAGTGCCCAGGAAACCTTCAGGCTCTCATCAGCCTGCCCCAATGCATGAATGATAATGTTTGTCAAAAATGCATTTGGAACACGAGTGAAGTCTGCTCGCCGAATATTCTGCTATATTACAAACCTTGGTTTTAAAAAAAATGTGTCAGACAAAAGTCCTACGACATTGCTACAAACAGTTGAGATTCAGCCCTTGATTTTGAGGTTTGTTCTCAGCTTAGAGAAGCAAAAGTCCTACAACATTGCTACAAACAGTTAAGATTCAGCCCTTGATTTTGAGGTTTGTTCTCAGCTTAAACAAGCAAAAGTCCTACGACATTGCTACAAACAGTTGAGACTCAGCCCTTGATTGTGATGTTTGTTCTCAGCTCAGACAAGCAATATCTCCTACAGTCTAACCATCAAATGTCTTACTGCGTGACAAATAATGTTGAGATATCCACTATCATTGGCCCCACTGATCAAAGTGTCGGGACAAAACAGGAAAGCCATGCTTAATGCATTCTTTTCTGATGGTATTGTGCTGGGCGTCTTAAGGAAACAACATTAAAGTGGTCTAACGTTCTGAGGGGGATTGTGCCCATTTGTGTGGTCTTCGAGTTCTGGACCTTCACTCTGCTCCGGCAGACAAGGTTCAAATGTCTGCTTGCATTGGCCTCACTGGTTGTCAGGATCAAAAGGGGAAGCCGTGCCTTATGCATGCTTGTCTACACTGTTGTGCTAGGTTCCCGAAAGTTGCTTATATCACAGCTTTGCTGTAAACAGGCACAACACAATTATGTCACTCGGCTGAACAAGAAGAAGAAGAAGAACTGGATTTGGTAATTTAAAAACAAAAAAATTAACCTTTATTGTTTCCATTTTGTTTTAGGATTATATCCTTGCATTAGTGTCACCAGCTGTGACTATTCAGATGAGGAACATTTGTGGTCACCCGTTGTTCACTGCAAACAGAGAGGAGGAGATTGAGAGAACTTCGGGTGCGGCCCTAATCAAGTGTGAAGATGATAGCCTGGTGATCTCTGGCACTGAGTTCACTGTCATGCTGGCTCAGTCGATGGTGAGAGAACATTTATACTTGTGTTTTATCAGAGTTTGTAGCCAATTTAATAGAGAAACTTTTTAGAGTTCTGTCTTAGATTGATACAATACTCTGTATAATAGAGAATTTTAGGATTTCCCCACTTGTGCAGCACAGTCCGTAGCATACTGCTACTGCAGTTCTACCACAGTACCATAGCACCAAGCCTGTGGAGTCTGTGTTGCCCATGCAGAAGGATCCAGCACTTGGCCTGCTGCATTGTAACTAACTCTTCAGCTTTCTTTAAAATTGTTTTCATTAGATTACTTTTTTTTAAGCAAGACGTACTGAGATCAAGTATGTAGCTCTAATACTCTTTCCATTTCTAGGTAAAGGACTATTTCACAAGACATGTGCTGTGGTTAGGTGCAACATAACTATTGAATACTTTTTCCATTTCTAGGTAAATGACATTTCACAAGACATGTGCTGTGGTTAGGTGCAACATAACTATTGAATACTTTTTCCATTTCTAGGTAAATGACATTTCACAAGACATGTGCTGTGGTTAGGTGCAACATAACTATTGAATACTTTTTCTATTTCTAGGTAAATGACATTTCACAAGACATGTGCTGTGGTTAGGTGCAACATAACTATTGAATACTCTTTCCATTTCCAGGTAGATGACTTATTTCACAAGACATGTGCTGTGGTTAGGTGCAACATAACTATTGAATACTTTTTCCATTTCCAGGTAGATGACTTATTTCACAAGACATGTGCTGTGGTTAGGTGCAACATAACTATTGAATACTTTTTCCATTTCCAGGTAGATGACTTATTTCACAAGACATGTGCTGTGGTTAGGTGCAACATAACTATTGAATACTCTTTCCAATTCCAGGTAGATGACTTATTTAGCAAGACATGTGCTGAGGTCGTTGATATGGACAGTAAAGAAGTTTCCGAGAGCAGGGTCCTTGACTTTGGAACAGATGTTTACACAAAAGAGGTTGATGGAGATCAGTTGAGAGGCAATTCTTCTTTGAACAGGAACAACTCAGCATTAACTTCTGTGGCTTCGCAGTTACCAGCCTTGACAGGGGCAGCAATTCATTACCCTGACAGCAATTCCACTTCAGGTACTCGATTAGTTTGTTCATATACGCTCTGAGACAAATTTTAAAATATAATCTGGGCTCCTTCTACTCCTCACCCTGCCTCCCCCTCCTCTTCTTCTTCTTTCTCCTCCTCCTCTTCTTCAGCCTTACAAACCTGTGAATATCATTGCTGCAGATATCACCTGCCTGCTTTCCTCTCTATGATTGGCCTTCTCCTGCCAGTTGGTGACTTCAGGTGTTGTAAGTAAATTTGCCCGTTTTATCATTTTTCCACCATCTGCCTCCACAAGTGTTCTGGAAAGTTCAAGCAGCTATTATGATATTGAAACAAAAAGTAGGCAGAACAAATAGTAACTGGACAGTTTCTCAGTAAAGTAATTATGGATGAGGAATTGAACGTTGTGGCATCAGCTTGTAGCAACACAAACAAACATGCATCTACAGTAAAAAAAAATTTACAAAATGTGTAAAAATAAACACGAAAACTGCATACTTTTCTTCTTCTTCTTAGTTTTCATCGGCTTTAAGCACCAGCGTAAAGTTCTGGCTGTTCATCCACATCTGGACTTTGGTCTTGCATGTGTACTTTTAAAACTAAATATGATGTGGAACTTCTGTCCCTTCAACTAGATGTACGTGTACTTTTTTAAAACTAAATAAGATGTTGAACTTCTGTCCCTTCAACTAGATGTACGTGTAATTTTTTAACTAAATAAGATGTGGAACTTCTGTGCCTTCAACTAGATGTACGTGTACTTTTTTAACAAATACAGTGTATGATGTGTATGTGTTGATGTAGCTTGTTTAATTTCCCCAGATTTATTCGCTAACTCAAACAGAAATGCAGTGACAGTCAGCGAACAGAAGCTTGCGGGACGGCCATTATTTCCGCATGAATATTCATTGTATGCATCAGCATCCGCCATTTACCCAGGAAACCTCTCAGTGGCACCACAGTACTGTTCAAACGGTGCTGTTACACGTGTCTTTCATACAGTAAACCATGTTGGAGACGGTGCTGTGCCAAAAACAAGCTCCCATGTTTCAGGAAGCCCCCAGCAAGTTGGGTGTAGTGATTTGCCGATGGAGGGTCCTAAACTTGACGCTTCATCGCAAAGTGGGTCCTTGCAAACCAAGAATCAACAGGCCTATCTTCAATTTCTAGGGCAGTCCTTGCACTACTCTCAAGCAGACATTGAAAAGGGACTTGCTGAGTACAGCATGGACGATATAGTGAAACCAGTCGAATTTCTGAAGACTCTCAACAGAATCAAAGCCCAGCGGCATGGTGGGGGACATCCCAACATCAGCACAGGCAACAGAGAAAATCCCAGCATGCCACAGAATTCGGCAGCCTCCCATCGCGCAGCAACACGAGATACTCAGTCGCAGATGACCGTGAATGATTACATTGATTTGGACGAGAGTGTCATCTGTATGGGGTCTGTCAGTGAGGATAATGATTATGTTATTGTGTCTTCAGAAGATGAGTCAGGTGAAACTGATGAAAATATGTCAGATTATCCAGGTGAGAATATATAGATTTTGTTTCCTGTAAGCAGATTCTTGTACTTGGTCTTCCTTGTAATTCCTGCATGGGTTCTGCGGATCCATTTTGGGACACCAAGGTCCCCCCAGCCAGCAAGTCATTAAAGGTCATTCATTAGGGGTTTGCTGAAATTATGTGTATTGCAGAGAAAGGTGCAGATATCACAGTCTAGCTGTAAACCGCAACACACTGTGCTAACTTGTTTTAAGAGAGAATACAGAATATAAAAAAAGTCTTCCTTTTCATCGTAAAGGAAGTTACACTGCTTTCTTTAGCCTGTGGCTCAGTATATCTGGCGACTAGCATTGTTGTAGCATATGCGCTAGGTATCTTGTTTATGTCAGTGTAACACTAGAATTGTTGTAGCATATGCGCTAGGTATCCTGTATATGTCAGTGTAACTCTAGAATTGTTGTAGCATATGCGCTAGGTATCCTGTTTATGTCAGTGTAACACTAGAATTGTTGTAGCATATGCGCTAGGTATCCTGTTTATGTCAGTGTAACTCTAGAATTGTTGTAGCATATGCGCTAGGTATCCTGTTTATGTCAGTGTAACACTAGAATTGTTGTAGCATATGCGCTAGGTATCCCGTTTATGTCAGTGTAACTCTAGAATTGTTGTAGCATATGCGCTAGGTATCCTGTTTATGTCAGTGTAACACTAGAATTGTTGTAGCATATGCGCTAGGTATCCTGTATATGTCAGTGTAACACTAGAATTGTTGTAGCATATGCGCTAGGTATCCTGTTTATGTCAGTGTAACACTAGAATTGTTGTAGCATATGCGCTAGGTATCCTGTTTATGTCAGTGTAACACTAGAATTGTTGTAGCATATGCGCTAGGTATCCCGTTTTATGTCAGTGTAACTCTAGAATTGTTGTAGCATATGCGCTAGGTATCCTGTTTATGTCAGTGTAACACTAGAATTGTTGTAGCATATGCGCTAGGTATCCTGTTTATGTCAGTGTAACACTAGAATTGTTGTAGCATATGCGCTAGGTATCCCGTTTATGTCAGTGTAACTCTAGAATTGTTGTAGCATATGCGCTAGGTATCCTGTTTATGTCAGTGTAACACTAGAATTGTTGTAGCATATGCGCTAGGTATCCCGTTTATGTCAGTGTAACACTAGAATTATAGCATATGCTGTTTGTGAGCCAGTGCTCAGATCATGACAGATCGACTACACATGCATTGGGTGTCACATTCATATACGGTTAACCATAGAATTGTTGTAAAATATTAGCTGCACACCTTTTATATATAATATTGACTGTAGAATTGTTACAGAATATACACTACAGCATCATGTTTATATAATATTGACTGTAGAATTGTTACAGAATATACACTACAGCATCAAGTTTTATACAATGTTGACTGTAGAATTGTAACAGGATATACACTACAGCGTCGTGTTTATATAATATTGACTGTAAAATTGTTACAGAATATACACTACAACATCGTGTTTATATAAAACTGACTAGAATATTGTTGAACCACCCTGTTTGTATAACTTCAGTGGCCCCACACCCTCCGCCCTCCAACTATCATAAACCAGCACCACCACCCCACTCCGAACTGCAGATCACATTTAGAAAGGAACCAACAGGGAGAATGGATCGGGAGGTGACTCTGACCAATGATTCCACAACTGTTGGAGAAAGCAGTGCAGTATCTCAGAGGCAGACGGGTCGAAGAAATCTGAGATACATCATCATTGACGGCAGCAATGTGGCAATGGCGTAGGTGTTTTCATTCTTTGTTTTGATTTGTTTCGAGAGGTCGATTGAAATTATCTTGTGGCCATGTGTCAGTGTGTTCACAAAACAATGTATTTGGGTCAGGTCGATAATTTTTAGAAGCCTGTTTTTACCTGCCTTAGTATGTCTTCTGTCAGGTTCAGTATTTGATTTTGCTAAAAGATAATTTAATGCAATATTAATGTTATACTGAGCTAACCCTTGCTGTGAAATATTTCTTTATTGAAATTTGTTACAAAATTGACAACTGTCGCACTTAGCAGTGCTATTTGCACAAGGAGATACCTGTGTGTATTATATACTGTTGTAACCCTAATTATGTCCCCTGCATTGTTCGGCTTGATTCAGGACAGTGGAATTCAAAGTTTCTATTTACAGCTGGTTCATTGACTTGAATAAGAACCGAGAAACTTCCATATATGAGTGTAAACACAACCTCATTAATTAATTGTGATTCCCGCTGGCTGAAACTGATCACGTGGGTATCCGATTCTCAAAGATAGCCCCTGTTTACACAGAGACCACAGGACCATCGTGAATAAAAAAAATACAGCGTGCCAAGAAATTTAAACTCCACTTAGCCGATCAGTGTAAGAAATCTCAAAGTGTACAAATCGCAAATGCTCGCAAGCAAACAAAGATCTACCAGAGCGTTGTTAACATTACAGTTCATTCGGAATGCAAGGCATCTAACATGCTTGTTGCTAATGTCGCTGGAATTCAGGCAATCAGTGCACTTTTCTTTAAGAAAAAAACCAAAGCCAGTTTAAAAAGAGATATATGAATATATGACCTTCTCTAGCAGCGAATGTGTTTCTGTTGATGATAGTGGACATAAAAAAAAAACTGGAGAACAGAGGGGTAGTTGACTTTTCCAAAATTGTAAAATCATAAATAAGTTGTGTTGTCCACTGTGTAAAAAATACTGGTCTAATTTTCAAAACTGACAACAACAAAACTCAAGCATTAGCTGTGCAGGCAGAAGTTAACAGTTCTTGTTGTGAAGAAGTAGTTTGTGGAAGGTGCCTAGCTTCAAGAAGTAAAGATGGGTGTTGGCTGTGCAGTGGATGTCCTTACAGGACTTTGCCTAGATGTGCATGTTATATCCACATACTGTCAGGTGTGAAACCACTGGTGAGAGAGTTTCCAAATCTCAACCAGCTGAACCTGAAGCCAGGAAGGCAGACGATCTTCTAAACTGTGATCATAATTTCACAGCATCTGCAGGTATGATGGAGGTGGAGGCTGCACGAGTGCTGTGGCAGCGGTCTGTGGCCCGTCACAAGCTTAGCTATACATCAATACTTTCTGACGGTGATGCCAAAACATTTGCAGAGCTTATCAAGATCAGACCTTATGGGAAGGACATTCACATAGACAAAAAGGAATGTATCAACCATGTCAGTAAACGCCTTAGAACAGCACTCCGTAATGTTGTTGCTGACTGCCGAAAGCAAGGCATGACCCTAGGTGGGCATGGTAAAGGTCAGCTTGCACAAAATTCCATCCGTAAGCTGACAGTTTATTAAAACAGAGCAGAAAGGACAACACAAGTCATAAGACATTCTTTCTGAGTGGGCAAACCATTTGATTTGGTCTGATGGTTTGCTGTCTGCTTTCACAAAAGGGGGAAACTGGTTTGATAAACAAAATATTACCGTAAAGATGACGATGATGATAAACATTCCAGAATGTTCTACATCCTCTGATGTTCAGAAATCAAAATCCACATACATTGCTCGGCACTCATACAGATGAGTGAGTGACATATAGGGCAGAGGTCACATTAGATAATATCAAAATCCCAAAAGTGTTTGCCACCATGTTCCTGATAAGACCCACACATATTGAAATGTATGGTTGTCTGTGGTAGAAATAAGAAAAGCTTAACACTTACTGCTTTATTACATTTGGTAACTGACAAACAGAAAATAAGTGTTTCCCTAATGTTTTCATCCTTTGGCCCTGAGAAGCCAAAAAAACTGACACTTCTAAGTGGACCCAGTTCCCTATATCACTTTTCCAACTTGCTTGTCAGGACCTGTTTATGAGATGTAAAAATTAATGCAGTTAACTAAGTTCTCACCCATTCCTATGTTCAGGAGATCAAGATATGAATATATTAACTAACAATAGCATTTAGAGGGGTTTTCCTTGTGTTAAATGGCTGTTTTATTATATTATTTAAAGCCAAAATGGTGTCGGATTTTCTCATAAGCCTCAGTGGTAAAGGTCAAGGGGTTGTGGAATGAGTCACCTGAAATGTGTGTATTTATTAGACCCCTGGTGATGTATGTAATTTTATGCTAGGCTTCTTACGTGTTTATTGATTACTGCTTTCACATGTCTTTGACAAATGGATTGGATCCTTTCCGTCTTTCCAGACGATAGTGTTATATCGCTCTATAAAGAGGCATGGGACTTGCAGCCCATGGCGAAGTCTTCCACAATGATAGCATGGGATCAGTGGTTTATTTCTGCTTCTGCACGGTTCACTTGCTGCCTAAAGGCTTGACCACATCAAGGTTGTCACGCATCAGTTTACACCCAGTGGTGCAGTACTAGCCAGTCTGTCTGTAGGTTATTTCCCAACACTGCATGCCTCTGAGAAAAGACCTAAATGGGGCAAATACCAGACACCTCTAAAATGGTGCTTGCCACTCTGCAAAGAGTATGTCTTTCTCCATCTTTCTCAGAAGGTTTTGTGAGTCTGTGACTCACAAATAACAGAAAAAAAATATTTTTATAACAAATAAAATTGTCAACTGATCATTGAACATATTTCTTGTGACGGGTATTTTATTTCTCCCCAGCCATGGAAATAACAGAGTGTTTTCTGTGGAAGGACTAAGGATTTCTATCAACTATTTTTTGAAGCGAGGCCATGACAGAATAACAGCTTTTGTCCCCGAGTGGCGACGATATTCTGAGAACCAGACATCTATAACAGGACGAGCATTGTTGGAAAAATTAAATCAAGATGGCTACGTCAAATTCACCCCGGCTCGGCGAATTAATGGAAAAACGTTTGCTTGTTATGATGACAGGTAAAGCATTGTGCTTGTTATGATGACAGGTAAAGCATTGTGCTTGTTATGATGACAGGTAAAGCATTGTGCTTGTTATGATGACAGGTAAAGCATTGTGCTTGTTATGATGACAGGTAAAGCATTGTGCTTGTTATGATGACAGGTAAAGCATTGTGCTTGTTATGATGACAGGTAAAGCATTGTGCTTGTTATGATGACAGGTAAAGCATTGTGCTTGTTATGATGACAGGTAAAGCATTGACAAAGCATTGATGGTGTGCTCTCTGATTCTTAAGTACCAGATCATGTCTTTGTATTTCCCCTGTGACATGCAATCAGACCACCAAGATATTTGGCTCTCCTGTCAACTACGGCCGGTAGACAACTGTAGACGGCCGGTTAGTCGGAGTTCTGTCCCTTGGCTACAGTGCAATTACGGAGTGGAAACGTAGGGAACGAAACAATTGACACAATTACTGTGTGTTGGCGATAGACAGCGTGCACTGCCCTGCTATAATCATACGGTTAGGGGTTGGGTTAGGGTAACACATGTAACGTCGAGTACTTACCCATAATGACGGCCGCTATATGTGATAATTTTCAGACAGGAGTTCCAAATAATGGCACCACGCAAGCTTATCGCTCATTAAGGGATACAGATCCGGAGGTGTCACATCTACGGCCACTAAGTCTTGCGTCGCAAGAACGCGGTCGCTAATGTGAGTCGCGGCACGTGGTCTAGCTCTAGCAGCCATGTCGACGTCACTTTGTGTTGTGATTCGTGCCTTCTCCACTCCGTAATTGCACTGTAGCCAAGGGACAGAACTCCGACTAACCGGCCGTCTACTGTTGTCTACCGGCCGTAGCTGACAGGAGAGCCAGATATTTATTCACCTGTCTTCTTTTCTTATAACATTTGCCAGTTGCTTTGTGGAAAGGGAGGGGGGGGGGGTGTTTCAGCTACCTTTTTTTCTCTCTTCAGTCTTCAAAAACAAAAACTATTTGTCACTTTAAATTTAATTAGGAATTTAGAAAACAAACAGTCTGCCTAAAGATTTATGATTGGAAGTAATCAGTAACATACAAATGGAGTTGATGTTTCAATGAATGGTCACTTGCCTTAGTTTTAAAGATATTATACAGAGAATTGTGACCAGAGAATGCTGAATGGAAATTGTTGACTTCTTCTTTACCTTCTCAGGTCTGTGTATATTTCCTCTCTCCATCACTTGTGTGGTCTACCTCTGGTCTGCTTCCATTTTGTCAAAGTGACAGAGCTTTATGGCTTCATATCGCCTAAACATAAAAGCAACCTGAAAATACAGATCAAAGACTAAATAGTGGCTTCTCTGAAATTTCTGATTGACGGCAAAATGGAAATATCGCCTTCTTGGGGCCTAAAGGTTGTCCAGCAGAGAAATTTTTGTGTGTATCTTTGTCGTTATATTTTCAGTTAATTTATGGCTTTTGTCTTTTTTTCTCAGAGGACCAGTTTGATTTTTGTGTGTCCAGTCTGTAGAAATCTTTGCATTTTCTGTTTTCTTCAGAAATCATTCCACCTCTGGCAGTTGATGTTGCCTTGGATGTCTGTCTATTGTCCATGGTCCATGTTTCTTGTAGAAACTGTGTCAGTTCTCAATCCTCTCACACCTGTAATGGGTTCTGGGGCCCGTCCATGTTTCTTGTAGAAACTGTCAGTTCTCAATCCCCTCACCCCTGTATGGGTTCTGGGGCCCGTTCATGTTTCTTGTAGAAACTGTCAGTTCTCAATCCCCTCACCCCTGTAATGGGTTCTGGGGCCCGTCCATGTTTCTTGTAGAAACTGTCAGTTCACCCCTGTATGGGTTCTGGGGCCCGTCCATGTTTCTTGTGTAAGAAAGAAACTGTCAGGTCCCATCACCCCTGGGGTCTGGGGCCGTCCATGTTTCTTGTAGAAACAGTGTCAGTTCTCAATCCCATCACCCCTGTATGGGTTTTGGGGCCCGTCCATGTTTCTTGTAGAAACTGTCAGTTCTCAATCCCATCACCCCTGTATGGGTTCTGGGGCCCGTCCATGTTTCTTGTAGAAACTGTCAGTTCTCAATCCCATCACCCCTGTATGGGTTCTGGGGCCCGTCCATGTTTCTTGTAGACACAGTGTCAGTTCTCAATCCCCTCACCCCTGTATGGGTTCTGGGGCCCGTCCATGTTTCTTGTAGACACAGTGTCAGTTCTCAATCCCCTCACCCCTGTATGGGTTCTGGGGCCCCCTTGTGTATTGGGAGTGGAGGGGGCACTGCCTCGCTCACAAGCATGTCATAAGAGTTGACTAATTTTGGATTTCTTTCAAAGTTGGAGTGCATCTGCCTGGAAGGTGAGGAACCAGCAGCCTGCATACAAATAAGGCAGATCTTTAAAATAGGTATTTATGGAAAACTCAAAATTCTGGAACAAGACTGTCCAGAAGAGGATGAACAACCAGAGTTTTCAGCTCATGAATACAAGGAATAAGTGTGCCAATTAAGTCACAAAGTTAAGGTACCTTTTCCCGCCTTCAGGTGTGTCGGGTATATATAGGAAGAGCACCCATATTTTTACAGACCATTGGCACTAGGTGTGTAATGTGGTCAGCGTTATGCCGACCGTCTTTACTTCCCCAAGGACAGCCATCCTGGTACCCATTTAAGGCTAGGGCGACCAGCAACGCCCCATACCATGATAAAAATCCACGCATCTAGCAGTGGGTTTCAATTTCAGTATGTTGGAAGTGGGCCAACTGGTGTATAGAAATGTGATATCACCATATTTGGCTGTATCATTGAAAACTGGTTCTTTATTTATTTAATGATTGTTTCAAGTCTGCTTGTAATTACCACATTTAGTTATTGCATGTTAACAAAATCTGGCTACATGTTTGTTTTACAGGAGGTATAGTTGTTGTGAAACTATGCACTTGTGATTTTGTCATCAGTGTCAATGCTGCTGTACAAACTGTTAATGTGGCTTTCAGTGATCAAACGAGCTAAATTTTAATTTATTCACCCCAAACCCCTTTTATAATTTAATGTAGAATCATAGATTTTATTTTGAAAGGAAGACTTTTTTGTTGAATCCAGCGGGGCATTGGCATATGATACTAGACTTACATGTTTATAGAACAAATGTCACTGATAGGTGATGTGATCATCACGCCGGCCGCCTTTACTTCCCAAGAAGTCAACACAGAAGCAAAGTGCGTTAAACAAAATACAACTGTTGGTGGGATTTGAGACCAAGAACCTCAGGCTGGCAGACAAGTGTCTAACCACTAGTCCGCTACTGCTTCCAAAAACATGGATTCTAATGGTAATATGTAGTCATTGCTTCAGATGGCTTTATATATGAAAACTTCACCATGTATTACCACACAGATGGTTTGACATCTCTTGTCAAAAATTTCAGTTGGAATACCGGACTTGTGTTTTATTTAATCATCATGTAGGCTTGGTTATCTGAGCCATTCTAAGCGCAGTTAGGTCAATGTATTTGATTTTTGAGCCACTGCAAGTTATGCACAGTGTACTAAGATGTTATTATTTCCCTGTTCATGAGATTTTAAATAGAGTAGTTGGGTTTTAAATAACAGAATTTTTTTGTTTTTTGACATTTCTCAGGTTTATTTTAAATCTTGCTGAGAAGGAAGATGGCGTTATCGTGTCCAACGACCAGTTCCGAGACTTGTGCAAGGAGAGGGCTAGTTACCAGAATATTGTTGCAAATCGGTCAGTGTTTATGTCATGTCTCTGTCCAGTTGTGGTCAGTGTTTTTGTCATGTCTCTGTCCTGTTGTGGTCACTGTTTATGTCATGTCTCTGTCCAGTTGTGGTCAGTGTTTTTGTCATGTGTGTGTTGTGGTAGGTGTGACACTGATGGCCAGTGATATGTATGTTCTGAGGGGGATTAAAGTGATGTCCTTATGTTTTTATTGTTATTTGGTCAGCTTTGGGGGCTGAGTGGTCTCGAGGCATGTGTCTGCCTTCAGTGCTGGAGGTCCTGGGTTCAGGCCCAGGTGAAGACTGGGATTGTTTCAGGTGGACTTCTGATAATCTCCCCTGTTCTCTGGGTAGTCAGATCAGATGCCTGTGTGTATTATTTCACAGTTGGAAATCAAACAGAGTAGCCTAATGGCGATGCCCGGACAAAATTTGGAGTTAAAAATCTACCCGAAGTGGTTTATGATCCTCACCGGTGTTAGGGAGTTCGTGCACTGCACTGAGATTCTTTAGACTCAGGTTCAAGTTAGAAATAGAACGGAGCACTTATAGATTCCTACCCTTATCCCTTTTGTAATGTTTTACCTTGATGTTCATTGTAATTGAAATGTGTCTGTTGTAATGTTTTACCTTGATGTTCATTGTAATTGAAATGTGTCTGTTGTGATAGTGTAAGTTGATGTCTAGTGTATTGACAGTTTATTTTGTGGGGTTAGTTCATATTTATATCCTTGCCAGTGCAACAGAGTTTGTGCACTGTACTGAGATTCTCCCTATGTAATAAGGGGGAAAAAACAAGCACCGATAGAGATATCCTTAGGCAATGAAAGATTAGATTCACAGCAGATGAAACAAATATTTTTGAGACATGGAAATGTCTGGGTCACCTATAACATGTCTTGCATGAATGGGATGCTTTTTCCTGATCTTTCTCATTCACATAAATATTGACTTCCGTCTCTTATAGTCCTGTAAGGTTTCTCCTGAACCTCCACATTCACATAAATATTGACTTCTGTCTCTTATAGTCCTGTAAGGTTTCTCCTGAACTTTCACATTCACATAAATATTGACTTCCGTCTCTTATAGTCCTGTAAAGTTTCTCCTGAACTTCCACATTCGCATAAATATTGACTTCCGTCTCTTATGTCTCTGGCCGAAAGTAAAACACCATCCGGTATTTCCGTGCAGCAGGGTACCAGCCCTGAGCTTCATGAACTCAGGTGGGCCCACCTCCGAATGCGTCTAGGAATCGTGGGCCGAAACGCATGTCGACGAGGATAATTTCTATTGACGACTGGTAGATCCCTGCTGTACTTGCTCCCTGTGAGTTTATTCCTAGTCCTGTAAGGTTTCTCCTGAACTTTCACATTCACATAAATATTGACTTCTGCCTCTTATAGTCCTGTAAGGTTTATCCTGAACTTTGACATTCACATAAATATTGACTTCCATCTCTTATAGTCCTGTAAGGTTTCTCCTGAACTTTGACATTCACATAAATATTGACTTCCGTCTCTTATAGTCCTGTAAAGTTTCTCCTGAACTTTGACATTCACATAAATATTGACTTCCATCTCTTATAGTCCTGTAAGGTTTCTCCTGAACTTCCACATTCACATAAATATTGACTTTTGTCTCTTATAGTCCTGTAAGGTTTCTCCTGAACTTTGACATTCACATAAATATTGACTTTTGTCTCTTATAGTCCTGTAAAGTTTCTCCTGAACTTTGACATTCACATAAATATTGACTTCCATCTCTTATAGTCCTGTAAGGTTTCTCCTGAACTTCCACATTCACATAAATATTGACTTCCGTCTCTTATAGTCCTGTAAAGTTTCTCCTGAACTTTGACATTCACATAAATATTGACTTCCATCTCTTATAGTCCTGTAAGGTTTCTCCTGAACTTTGACATTCACATAAATATTGACTTCCGTCTCTTATAGTCCTGTAAAGTTTCTCCTGAACTTTGACATTCACATAAATATTGACTTCCATCTCTTATAGTCCTGTAAGGTTTCTCCTGAACTTCCACATTCACATAAATATTGACTTTTGTCTCTTATAGTCCTGTAAGGTTACTCCTGAACTTCCACATTCACATAAATATTGACTTTCATCTCTTATAGTCCTGTAAGGTTTCTCCTGAACTTTGACATTCACATAAATATTGACTTCCATCTCTTATAGTCCTGTAAGGTTTCTCCTGAACCTCCACATTTACATAAATATTGACTTCCGTCTCTTATAGTCCTGTGAAGTTCCTCCTGAACCTCCACATTCACATAAATATTGACTTCCATCTCTTATAGTCCTGTAAGGTTTCTCCTGAACCTCCACATTTACATAAATATTGACTTCTGCCTCTTATAGTCCTGTAAGGTTTCTCCTGAACTTCCACATTCACATAAATATTGACTTCCATCTCTTATAGTCCTGTAAGGTTTCTCCTGAACCTCCTTATTTACATAAATATTGACATCTGTCTCTTATAGTCCTGTAAGGTTTCTCCGGAACTTCCACATTCACATAAATATTTACTTCTGTCTCTTATAGTCCTGTAAGGTTTCTCCTAGATGTCCTCACTATCTCAGTCCTATTTGTACCCATTTAATTGCCACATTTTATGATTTGTTTTTCTTTCTTTGTTTGGTCTGCTTCATTTAGAATGTTTCCAGTACAGAACTGTATGTTTGTTTATTGAACATAACAAGCAGTTGTTTGAGATCTATTGCAATCAACCTTGAATGTGGAGATGGCATCTGTTTGATTGAATTTGTTTCTATCCCACGAGGCAGCTTGCTACAGTTCATGTTTGTAGGAGACCACTTTATGCCCCCTGATGACCCCCTAGGCAGACATGGGCCCCACTTGGATGACTTTTTACGATATCCCGATTTTGGGCCGAAGCCAGTCTGGAATGGTCGGTAAGTATGTGAATAAGTCAGTAATGAAGAAACATAACACCTTCAGCACCAATCTGTACAGCGTGTGTGACTGGATGTTTCTGTTGTGTACCAGTCACATTGTGTGGATTTGTTTACCTTACTTTAACATGTGTGTTTATTGCCTCTGTGTAGGTTACAGTTTTTGATTTTTGCCACTGATGATTTGAACCTTGATCGCTCAGATGAGAGCCTAGTAGTGTAAACTGCTCAGACAGTCACTCTTTATCTTATACATTAAACTGACAGTCATAAAAGTCAGAGATGAGATGTCTTAGGAGAACTGCAGGAGTCACAACAATATATAACATTATAACAGCAACCAGTAATACAGTTGATTATCTCTGTCTTATCCCGGTCCCAAGCCACAATGAGAAAGGAGGAGGGTTGAGCACTGGGGTCAGCTTCACCATTCTGTAAAAGTTCTTTTGCTACAGAAACCTGCAGGAGAGGATGCTGTCAGGCAATAAAATGAGAAATATAGGGATTGAGGGAATGAAGAGGCCCAAAGGAGACCCTAAAAAATGAACATTGATGAGAAAGACCAAAGCTGTTGGACTGTAATCCATGCATGATATTCAACTGATATTGCACAGGATACAATGGACAAGAGGAATAAAGTGCAAGCCTTGTGTGTTATGTGATAGAACAACCGGGTGGTGATGACTCCTTGGCTGACCTAGCCTAGATTGACTACCAGGAAATCTACTGGGAAGTAAAGCTGGCCATTGTGACTGGTCTGTACAAATATAGTCCCAGCACCACCTCACCAGTGCCCCTGGGTGTGATTCTTGTTGTAAAAACCCAAGTCTGTGGCAACAAGGTGGGGAATGTCTGTCTCTTTGGCAATCATCTGAAATTAAATAAGCAGCAATCACTAAAGAGACAATTCAGGCTTTTCAAGATGATCCTTTCACCCTGAAAGTTGATCCTTTCATCCTTAAAGTTGATCCTTTCACCCTGGAAGTTGATCCTTTCACCCTGGAAGTTGATCCTTTCACCATGGAAGTGCTTAATAAAGGCTAGTGAACGGGAAATTCTTCAGACAGACAAAAGATGCTTCAAACACAAGCTTTTTAAACAGATCAGTCATAAATTATTGAACATTTATTCATCTACATTTAAAAAAAAAAAAAAAACCGTTGTTGAAATATATGAAGGCAGCAATAAATCACATGAGCAGGGTGGTCCATTCAATGGAATATATTTCCTGATTCTTTACAAATATATCAGGTGACTCATACCTTGACCCCCATGACCTCCTTGGAATTCTAACATTAGGACTGTGGGGGCAAATTGTGACGTCAAAATAGCTTTTAAAAAGTCACATCAAAAGACATGCTTCTAAAAACCATACTGGAGGGAAAGGTTGCAGTCAAGGGAGCAACAGGTGGAAAATGATACAAGTGGGAGGATAACATCAAGAGAGAGTGTACAACCAGAACAGAAGACAGGGCATGTTGGAGATCCATTACAGCCGACCTTCACTGTGGAGATGGCAGCTGATTGGTTAATTACTTTGGGGTTTGACATTTTATTGACATATTTATTGTTATGTGATGTCTTTTAGAGAAAGCAAGCATTGTGTGGCACAGTCGGAAAGGGAGAGGGGGAGGGGGACAGTATACACTGCCTTATTTATGACTTCAAACTCCAGTAATCCGTAATAAAAGTTGTTAAATAACTTTACTAGAGCTCTTCACTGAAAACTCTTTTATTAACAGAAATAGATGTACGCCCGTCATGTCCTAGTCATATTATTGTTAACACCTTTATCAACAGTAATAGATATAAATCCATCGTGTCCTTGTCATTACTTCAGTACGTCAACACCTTTAGCAACAGTAATAGATATAAATCCATCGTTTCCTTGTCATTACTTCAGTACGTCAACACCTTTATCAGCAGTAATAGATGTAAGTCCATCGTGTCCTTGTCATTACTTCAATACGTCAACACCTTTATCAGCAGTAATAGATATAAGTCTATCGTGTCCTTGTCATTACTTCAATACGTCAACACCTTTATCAGCAGTAATAGATATAAGTCCATCGTGTCCTTGTCATTACTTCAGTACGTCAACACCTTTATCAGCAGTAATAGATATAAATCCATCGTGTCCTTGTCATTACTTCAGTACGTCAACACCTTTATCAGCAGTAATAGATATAAGTCCATCGTGTCCTTGTCATTACTTCAGTACGTCAACACCTTTATCAGCAGTAATAGATATAAATCCATCGTGTCCTTGTAATTACTTAAATATGTCAACACCTTTATCAACAGTAATAGATATAAGTCCATCGTGTCCTTGTCATTACTTCAGTACGTCAACACCTTTATCAGCAGTAATAGATATAAGTCCACCGTGTCCTTGTCATTACTTCAGTACGTCAACACCTTTATCAACAGTAATAGATGTAAGTCCACCGTGTCCTTGTCATTACTTAATACGTTAACACCTTTATCAGCAGTAATAGATGTAAGTCCATGGTGTCCTTGTCATTACGTCAATACGTCACACCTTTATCAGCAGTAATAGATGCTAAACAAAATGGGTCATGCACCCTTGGAAATTCCTGAACAAGTAGAGAAAAAAAAACTGTACACAGGTCACTAATGTGTATGTGTGTATATATATATAGTTATGTTAAAAATAAGTATATGAAATCAATTGGTTTCCTGAAATATGCAGAGATATATAGAGGACAGTCAATAAACAAGAACAGAGTAAAGCATTCAGTGAAACACGTTTGCTTGGGCCTTCAAGAAATATGAGTGGGATGACACACGCGGTGACCTGTAACACTGAGGCAATGGGTCAATTATGACACCAGTGTGGCTCTATAAACAACCCTGTGGCTCACAAGACCCAGCCTGAAACGGGTAGGAGGGATGTCCTGGAGAAGTCAAGGTGGCCAGTGTAATGCTGACTACGTTACCCACCTAGTGCTGATTAGTTTGTAAAAATATGCGCCCAAGATGTGAAAGGAGATCTTTTAGAATGTTGTATGGTACACTAGTTTATGCATGTCCATTGCAGGATTTTAGAATGTTGTATGGTACACTAGTTTATGCATGTCCATTGCAGGATTTTAAAAAATGATTTCACAAGTCACTTTGTGCATTCAATATTTGTAAAGTAGGACGAGTGAAAATACACATATTAAGTAAATTTTTTATAAAAATGTAGAAAGTCCTAATAAAATATTCTGAAATTAAATAACCTGTAGAATGGAGCCATTGCGCTCTGGCATTTACCACTTTGTTGTGGTCACGATACTGTAGGTGAAGACTGTTATCACAACATTTCAGTGGCAGCCATCTTGTTGTGGTCAAGATAATTAAGCAATGTCCAGGTGCTAATACCAATCTTCGGCCAATGCTTGTCTTTCTCTACTAGTCATCATAAAACATGGTTGTACAAACACATTTCATACTGTTTTCTGTAGAAATAATTGGTGGTTTTGATTTCTTTTTCTTCCCTTAACCAACACAATCAGGAAAGATACAACTTCACCAAACATGGGAAACGGCTCAGTTCTCAGTGTAAAGCTACCAAACCAAAGACAACCAGTTGCAACAAACTCTGAGGAGAAGAAGGGCCAGCAAGAGCGCAAACCAAGTGTAACGTTAGAGTTGTATCAGAAACTGGCTCAAATGTTCCCAGAGCCCAACCAGGTGCAGCATATCTTGAAAGTCTTGAACAACCACGAGCAGGAGACCGACATCAATCGCCTCACAAACTATTGCATGAATTCCCTGTTCACACAGTGAATCAATCGCCTCACAAACTATTGTATGAATTCCCTGTTCACACAGTGAATCAATCGCCTCACAAACTATTGCATGAATTCCCTGTTCACACAGTGAATCAATCGCCTCACAAACTATTGTATGAATTCCCTGTTCACACAGTGAATCAATCGCCTCACAAACTATTGCATGAATTCCCTGTTCACACAGTGAATCAATCGCCTCACAAACTATTGCATGAATTCCCTGTTCACACAGTGAATCAATCGCCTCACAAACTATTGCATGAATTCCCTGTTCACACAGTGAATCAATCGCCTCACAAACTATTGCATGAATTCCCTGTTCACACAGTGAATCAATCGCCTCACAAACTATTGCATGAATTCCCTGTTCACACAGTGAATTCTCTACAGCACATTCTACAGTGCTGGCCAAGAGCTGCTTCTTTTTTTTTTTTTTTACTAGAAACGTTAACTGTAGACATTTCTACAGAATTCATATTTGCTGGCTGTTCAGTCATTGTCTACTTACTTATGATGGTAGCAAAAGATATCCATATCCAGTCATGTTTAAAATCATTATTTAGTGATCATGTCAGTTACTCCAGCCCAGTAATTTGCCTCTGTTAATTGCTCAGAAATTCAATTGTAGTAACTTCTATGCTGTAGCTGCATAACTGAAAATTTAAATTAAAATATGTATGTGGTCATGCCTGGTAGTGTATTTTAATTTTGATCTCAGCAGTTCTTTGTTGTATATCTTAGGACATGCATACATACATACATACATACATACATACATACATACATACATACATACATACATACATACATACATACATACATACATACATACATACATACATACATACATACATACATACATACATACATACATACATACATACATACATACATACATACATACATACATACATACATACATACATACATACATACATACATACATACATACATACATACATAAACATATACACTGTTACAATTATTGATAACCAATGAATGAACTGTCAAAATGATTGACAACCTCAAAGTAATGTTCACACATGTATGCTGTCAGATCGGTTCACAAGGCTTTATATGTGCACATCTTTAAGAACCCCTTGGATGTGGCCAGAATGACTCCTGGGAGTCGAACTACGATTTAAGGAACATTGCTGGCAAATTTGTCTGCACTTGAAAAAATGTCAGATAATATTGTAGAAAGAGAGGAGTCTGCCATACGAATATCAGGTCTTTGATCTTTCAGATCCACCACAAGATGAAGTCCGTTTGTTGCATTTATTGGTCTTGGCTGACAAGTGAGCTGCTGCTTCTTTTCTCTAGTCCCTGATCTGACTTTCAACTTCATGTTTTGATGCCAACCTTGGTATGTGCTGTGTGGATGCTTGTGTTCCCAGTGCCAGATATTCCATCAGCCCATCGTGTGCTTGGGCACCCTCTAGCTCTGCTTCCATTGTATCTGTATGATGCATTGTCCTGTTGCAGTGCTGGTGCCTGTAGCTTCAAATGTGATAATTATGTATAGCTTATGTTACATAATCATTTTTATTGTTGTTTGAAGTTATGCTCATCAAGGTTATCAGTGTTTTGACAGTTGTCTTCAAGTTTAATAACAGAGCCTGAAACTGAGTAATAGTTTAGTAATACATGAATTAGAGCCGGACTTTTTTCAAAAATGACCATGGCTCGCAGGTCGACCCAGGTCTTGAGTGGGTACCAGGTGCAGTCCCGGGAAGTAAAGGCGGCCGGCGAGATGCTGACCACATCACCCATCTTGTGCTGATTGGTCTATAAAAAATATAGGTCTAGCCCTATATGCCTAAAGGCGTGGAAAAGGGTCCTTTACTTTTAGTTTACCTAATACAAGAATTGCCTTTTATTGTTCCTGAAAGATTAGATGAAAGTAACATTAACTTTTTTGTTGTTGTTTTGTTACTGTTGGAACTTTTCCATCTTTCCAGAGTATAGTGTTATAGAGGACAGCATGAGAATAGCTGCTGGCTAGCGAGTGTTGTAAAGACCTTGTGTTGCACTTTACAATCACAGCCTTCTAGATTCTTCTTTGTAAAGACCTTGTGTTGCACTTTACAATCACAGCCTTCTAGACTTCTAGATTCTTCTTCTTGTAAAGACCTTGTGTTGCACTTTACAATCACAGCCTTCTAGATTCTTCTTCTTGTAAAGACCTTGTGTTGCACTTTACAATCACAGCCTTCTAGATTCTTCTTCTTGTAAAAGACCTTGTGTTGCACTTTTACAATCACAGCCTTCTAGATTCTTCTTCTTGTAAAGACCTTGTGTTGCACTTTACAATCACAGCCTTCTAGATTCTTCTTCTTGTAAAGACCTTGTGTTGCACTTTACAATCACAGCCTTCTAGATTCTTCTTCTTGTAAAGACCTTGTGTTGCACTTTACAATCACAGCCTTCTAGATTCTTCTTCTTGTAAAGACCTTGTGTTGCACTTTACAATCACAGCCTTCTAGATTCTTCTTCTTGTAAAGACCTTGTGTTGCACTTTACAATCACAGCCTTCTAGATTCTTCTTCTTGTAAAGACCTTGTGTTGCACTTTACAATCACAGCCTTCTAGATTCTTCTTCTTGTAAAGACCTTGTGTTGCACTTTACAATCACAGCCTTCTAGATTCTTCTTCTTCTGCATTCCAGTAATTGATGTACATATGAGGCATGATCTATCGTGCTCCCCAGTTTGAGGATGTTCTCATGCTGCACATCTGATCACACACAACTGTCAGTCCCAGCTTTGATGGCAACTGCTTCCTGATGATAGAAAGTATTAATTTTTCTGTAGGTTATTGGGGGGGGGGGGGGGGACCGTTAGTGTTCCCCCAAACTTAATTGTCTTCAGCTTTTGTCTCCAGTATGGCTTTTATAAGACTTACATCTTATAATGTAGCCAAAATATTTCAATATATTTCTTATTTTTCACCAGCTTCTTATTTGCAGTTTCTTCAGAACCTCTCCATGCGATTGATTTGTGTATTTTCTCCCAATGAAATGTATTCTGTTATTAGGCAAATATGCAGCCTAACCGACATCATACCTGGTGCAGAATGGATACCTGTGCCTCAGGCGTTTATTTGTACATTTTCCTGTATTGTCACACTCAACAGGCGATGTAGAGAAGAGAATCCTGTTGCTGTTAATGCAGAGGTCAACGCTCTTATCGGTGAAAATTCAGACGAAGCAGATACACTAATCTATACAGACGGATCCGTTATACGCCAAAGAAGAAGCGCATGGGCATTCACAGCACGCTCAGCGGGCAGAACAGTCAAAGAAGCCAACGGCGCCTTCTCCATGACAACCAGCAGCATGACGATGGAGGTGATGGCAGTGAGGCAAGTGTTTGCCTGGCTTGAAAGACAAAAATACACCCGCGTATGTATACTCAGTGATTCAATGAGTATGATCCGGAGGGTTCAGGCAGGTTCAGTGCGAAGACAATGGCTTGAATCATTACAGAAGTCCACTGTGCGTGGAGTCACCTTTATTTTTGTTCCGGGACACGCAGCGTCGATGAAAATGAAAGAGCTGACAGGTTGGCTGGATCCGCTATCACTACCGACGGTCAGCCTATGGATCATGCTGATATTATCAATGCCCTCAGAGAAATGGGAAGGATATAGGACTTTGGTGGCAGTGAATCCACATCGCTCGCCAGAATGGCAAACTTGGGAATTAAGATCGGCATTGCAAAAAACGAGACGCACACCAGACACGCCAGAAGACTTGTTAATCAACATAGAACTAGTACTATTAGCCACCGGAGGCTGGGGTCCATACTGAGGGGAGGATCTGAGCACTTATGGACATGTCCGGAGTGCAATGAGGATAACCCAGCTAACTAACTAATGTAATCTGTTGTGCAAATTCACATCTGCAGAGCCTTATTATGATTTTCTGATTGCCTATTCTCTGTCCAGATTGATGCCAGGGAAAGCTGGGTTGAGTACACACACAACACTGGACAATTCTCAGTGATAACTTTGGTTGCAAGTGTCATATTTGTATAAAAATAACCATGTGGCTTTAAAATGTTTGTTATTGGAACTTTCTGCAGCCGCATTTTTTTTTTTAATGGGAGAGATTATTTATCTGCAGACTTTCTTTAACTTACTTCATTTGAGAATAATTAACAGCACAGGTAATCACTGAGACAGAAAGTGTTAGGCAATATTCCCTACAGCTGTGATTGCACAGCAGGTCAATTACTCTACACAGTAGGTCAATTACTCTACACAGCAGGTCAATTACTCTACACAGCAGGTCAATTACTCTACACAGCAGGTCAATTACTCTACACAGCAATACTCTACACAGCAGGTCAATTACTCTACACAGCAGGTCAATTACTCTACACAGCAGGTCAATTACTCTACACAGCAGGTCAATTACTCTACACAGCAGGTTAATTACTCTACACAGCAGGTCAATTACTCTACACAGCAGGTCAATTACTCTACACAGCAGGTTAATTACTCTACACAGCAGGTCAATTACTCTACACAGCAGGTCAATTACTCTACACAGTAGGTCAATTACTCTACACAGCAGGTCAATTACTCTACACAGCAGGTTAATTACTTAACAGAGAATGTTAATTACTCTACAGAGAATGTCACTTACTCTACACAGCAGGTCAATTACTCTACAGAGAATGTCACTTACTCTACAGAGCAGGTCAATTACTCTACACAGCAGGTCAATTACTCTACACAGCAGGTCAATTACTCTACACAGCAGGTCAATTACTCTACACAGCAGGTCAATTACTCTACACAGCAGGTCAATTACTCTACACAGCAGGTCAATTACTCTACACAGCAGGTTAATTACTTAACAGAGAATGTTAATTACTCTACAGAGAATGTCACTTACTCTACACAGCAGGTCAATTACTCTACAGAGAATGTCACTTACTCTACAGAGCAGGTCAATTACTCTACACAGCAGGTCAATTACTCTACAGA